CTACAAGTGTATTTCCTGAAGAGACCAGTATCAAATCACTCACACTATTTTTATCATCAACATCCCTCTCCAACCCGTTTTTGACACCCACTCTATTGAGTCCTTCTATGTATACCTCTCTCCATAACTGTTTTTTTCCTTCAACCTCAACTATTAAGAACAACAATCAGATCTCAGATATCCATATCCCACCTCCTGTGATGCTGCACTTGATGTCCCTTCACTAGTTACAGCCAACATCTCTCCCTTAACCTTCACTCAAGACCCAGCCCTGATGGCCCTCTGCACCATGCCCAGTGAGTCTCACAGATGACCACTCAATCCACTTAGCTAATCCACAAGACTGACTGAAACTCCCCAGAGCCAGGACACAACAGGGTCACAACAAAATCCTGGTGAGAGTTTAGAAATGTTTATGTACCAGCCCTAGCCTCTTCTTGTTTGAATTACTCTTTGGCCTCCAATTAATCTCAGGTCCACTGATCTTTTAAAGGTATTGGCCACTGCAAAACCACCCCCACACTCTACAGGACAACTTCTGTCCCTATACTGTGTTGTGACATCCATGTCTCATAAATAGTGGCCACAGCAAGAAAGCCAGTCCTCAGGCTCACTGTCCTTTCTGAGTTACTACTACCATGACCAACCTTACCATGATTCCCTGTATTAAAGTGATGTACAGTCCTGGCTGACGTGTCTCAGTTGGTTGAGCATAGACCCATGCACTGGTGAGGTCACATGCCTGGGTTGTGGGCTGGATCCACGGTAGAGATTGTGCAGGTGACAACCAATCCTTGTTTTTTGCTCATCCCTGTTTCTCTGTCTCTCTCCCTCTCCCTTTGTTTCTACATTTAATATCAATAAAAATATACATGTATTTTAAAACATATACCTGAGGGTTCCTGATTCAGCTCACTTCTCACTCCCAGCCTTTGCACATTCTGGACCCTATGTCTGGAGGACCTCGCACTCATTACAATGGTTTCCAAATACAAGGTCAACGTTTTGAAGCCCTAGTCGTGGTCTTAGGATTCTGGGCTTAGAGTCTGTTCAAAATACCTAGGTCAGTGGGATACAAGAGCGGCTGATGGTCCAAGGACTCCACTATCTAAAAGGAGGTGAGGCTCTGAAATAAGTTCACAAACCTGTACACCTAATCGATTCTGTATTTTCAGGAATTTGTGGAAAGATAACAGTCTGTTGTGAGCCTGGCGGTGGCCTGTGGGCTCAGGCTGCTCAGTGTCTTTGCCCAGCCCAGAGGCCAGGTGCCCTCCAGATGCCTGTATTACATCAGGGCTCAGTCCTCAGGGCTCACTCTTGCCAGTTACCTTATCATTTACAGGACTTCCCGGTCCTGTCCACAGCTGCTGTCCTCTGTCTTCTAGTCTGTTCTTCCTCTGAGCAATGTTAGGAAAAGTTAGAACCCTGCCTCAGAAAATGTCCCTTTTTTTTCACAACCATCTATGCTCCCAGCCTCTTGCAAAACCATACCTCATCTCTTTGTTTCCTTTAGACCAGCAGTTCTCAACCTGGGGGTCGAACGACCCTTTCACAGGGGTCGCCTAAGACCATCGGAAAACACATCTATAAATACATATTGTTTTTGTGATTAATCACTATGCTTTAATTATGTTCAATTTGTAACAATGAAAATACATCCTGCATATCAGATATTTACATTACGATTCATAACAGTAGCAAAATTACAGTTATGAAGTAGGAACGAAAATAATTTTATGGTTGGGGGGTCACCATAACATGAGGAACTGTATTAAAGGGTTGCGGCATTAGGAAGGTTGAGAACCACTGCTTTAGATCCAAAACGGCCCGGATTCCCGAGTCCTCCCTGCGCAGTCGCACCATCAACAGCAGGCACGCTGCCTCCCAGGCCTCGACCTCCTCACCATCAGTGCTCTGAAGCCTGTGAGTCTGTGAAAAAACACCTAAAAAGTTAAAAAGACCAGCGCGAATAGGAAGGCGGAAGTCCCGCCTTAAACGGATGCGCAAACACCAAAATGTCCTTTAGCTCCGCCCACATGAGTGCAGTTTCTTCTGGGTAATGTAGTTTTCTCAACCGCCCAGGGGAGTACTAGAGTCCCAGCCAATGTCAGTGGTTGGCAAACTGCGGCTCAGAAGCCACATGGGGCTCTTTGGCCCCTCGAGTATGGCTCTTCCACAACATACCACGTGCAGGCGGTCACGTACAGTGCGATTAAAACTTCGTGGTCCATACGCAGAAGTCAGTTTTCGGCCTGGGAGAGTCTATTTTGAAGAAGTACTGATGATGTTTGGCTCTGTTGACTAATGAGTTTGCCAACCACTAACTTAGATGAATAAAGGTGTTGCAGCCCAGCAAGTGACTCCAGGGGAGGGAGTAGATGGGACCAGAGGCCTGGCTCACTGGAGGGGAAGGAGGTGGAGAGGAATACAAGAGACCCACCAAAGAATATATACAGAGGGGGAAAATGGGAGACATCGATAATACTATCAACAATAAAAACAATATGTATTTTCATAAATTTTAAAATAATGTAGTCCAGCTGGTGTTGCTCAGTGGTTGAACCTTTACCTGTGAATCAGGAGGTCATGGTTCTTTTTTTTCTTTTTCTTTTTAAAATTATTGATTGTTTAAAGTATTACATATAGTATTACTTATAACTCCTTTTCCCCCCATTGAGCTCTGCCCAGCTACCCCCATGCCTTAGCACATGCCCTTACCTCCCATAGTGTCTGTCTGTGTCCATTGGTTATGCTTATACGAATGAATATGTCTTTTGGTTGATCCATTAACCCCTCCCTTCTCTGACTTCCCTCTGAAGTTTGAATCTGTTTGACACTTCTATGTTTCTGAATCTATTTTTGTTCATCAATTTATGCTGTTTATTATATTTTACAAATGATGAGGTCATATGATACTGCTTCTTTTCCTGGTAGGGCACATACATGGGATGCAGGCTCAATTCCCAGTGTGGGGGTGGAGTCATGCATGAGGCAACTAATTAGCAATTCTCTCTCATCATTGATGTTTTTATCTCTCCCTCTCCCTTCCACTCTATAAGATCAACAACAAAAAAAATATATATATATATTTGCCATGGACATAGACAATCATGTGGTGAGGGACTAGAAACAGTGCGGGTAGGGTAGAGGGAGAGAAGGCGGCAGGAGTATGGCAATGGAACCAGTGACCTCTCAGAGTAAGGGATGGTGCCCAACCAACTGAAGTACAATGCCAGGGAAGAGATTATTCTTGTGTTATTATTTATTAACTATTGTATTAATTTTCTGACCAACAACTCTAAACCTAAAATTGGGAATATCTGTAATAGAGTCAGAAATCCTATATAACTATGAACTAATTTTGTAAAGGAAGGAAAGTCAATGACTGCATTTAGAGCTGGGGAAGGCATAAAGAGAGAATATAAAAGGCAGAAGGTAAATATAGGGTGTTGTAAGTTAGGTTTAGAGTTGTTGGTCAGGAAATTAATACAATAGTTAATAAATAATAACACAAGAATAATCTCTTCCCTGGAATTGTACTTCAGTTGGTTGGGCACCATCCCTTATTCTGAAAGGTCACTGGTTCCATTCCAGGTCAGGACACTCGCCTGTCTGGATGTCCTGTAGGTGGTGTACACGAGGCAGCAGTTCAATGTTACTTTCTCTTATCAACATTTCTTTCTCTCTCCCTTCTTCTTTCTAAAAGGTCAATAAAAATATTTTAAATATATAAAAGACTTATTTTTTAAAAGAGGATAAACTTTGTGTTTTGTATATTCACATCTGTAAGCCTACTTTTGACCTAACCTCTATATGTGAGAGATATGTTTATTTCACATGCCTTTTCAGAGCTTTATCCATATGTCCAAGCTCACCACATAGTACACATTAGGAAAACTGCATTTTATTGTATGTCAGTTATAAATAT